TGTAATATAAATACTGCAGTTTTATTTTGTCTCTCGTCACTGCTACCGTCGAACACTATCTTTTTCAACAATTTTTGAAACATTTCGCTGGAAATTTCAATTTTTCTCTGCTACTAACTAATTTAATTAAATTAATTTCCACGCTGCAAAGACTAAAAATGTTTTCGTGGTTGTCGCCGCCGGCGCCGCAGTCTCGATTTCACACGACAGCAGTAATAAGATATTCAGCTAACACACCTACTTATCCATAAATGATAAACTTTATTGTTGTTTATCAAAGCTGTGCTTTTCTTGTAGATTAAAGTACTGAAAATAAACTTACATTCATTACCCAATACTTAGTGTTTCATTTATTTTCAACAATTGCTATATTTGTAGAGAGTATACGGCGTTTCTTCTATATTACAAAGACAGACAGTCGAAAACGCATATCTTAGCAAGAATTGTATATGAACATATATTATATGCACAATATATACAGAGTTGACGAAAATCACACTCAATTTTTCATTTCACAATTTCACTTTTTCTTTTCTGTTTGTCGTTAATGAACCATGAACCAGGTTGGTTCATTAATATTCAAGGTGTTAAATAATTCACACTGAACGTCAGCTGGAATGAGCAAAGAAAAAGAGAATTTATAACTTTTATTGCTCGTAGCATCCATCATAACTAAAATTGAAATTTATGAGTAATTTCGAATGGAGAATCTGAAAATCGATACGAGAAAAGAAAAATCTTTTTTTGATTTATCTCAGACACTTTTTGAGTACTCCTGAGAATGAAAATACTTACAATTACTATCATATTTCACTGCAACATTGACTGAATCAGTAACTGCCACTCTGTTTATCACATCTTTTGCTAAGTTCAAAAATACATCACATAATACTTCAAATGTGAAAACCAATTTGTTGTTGGATCCGTGTTCACAAACAACGCAGTCCTTGTTAACGGGATTCTGGAGAAGGATGATAATTTGTATTGATTCTTTTGGTTCTATGACACGAAAATATTGTGATTTATTATTATTTCTCCTATTATCAAACTTGATAAAATCTTCAACGGCTATATTGATGTTCTTTACTTTATAAATGTCCCATAAATATTCTTTTTTATTATCTCGCTCTGGTAATTTCTTAATCTTTTTGATGTAATCGTCCCGTTTTTTTTATAATCAACAGAATATACTACTATTGTTGAATCTTAAAAATTAATAAATTAAGCCGACAATAGTAATGTTCTGATGGTCATGAGTTTCATTCCCATGTCTGAATCCAATTTTGATACGGCAACCTATAAGTTTGATGGAAATTTCCGAAAGAGCTGTAAAAGTCTAGAACCAGTCCAACCAGGTTTCGTATATTGGCTTAATTATATACCATAAACTTCAGCTTTTTAACATATTTCTGTCGAAAGTTAATAAATTTTTTATTATAAGATGTGTGCGTCGTTCTCAATCCTGATAACTTTCCCTCCACAAAGTTTGATCGAATCTCGATCTCCTACCCGTCTTATGTTTTGCCTTAGATATCGACTGAATAAGGGTAAAAAAATAGCTAACTCTGTTTGATTACATCAGAAAGGGAGAAAACACGCATGTACTGCGTAACACAGTCAAAATGTAGTAAAGGACATTTCTTTATTGAACAGATGGTAATCCATTAAAAACCTCTAATGATTTATAAATGTATTAAATATTACTATAAGGTATAATATGGCGAAAAGATAAACGCATTATCATTCCTTAGAAGCAGTTAATGTTGTACAAAATATTTTTCCAAAGCTTAATTGCTGAAACTATTTAACGAAGCAAGCAATATAGCATAGAAACATCATTCTGTTGCTGGCTGAAACTTAACGGTGCAGTGAGTGGATGAGTAACTCATGTTTTTTCCAAAAAAGCAGACTAGTAACCTGCTCTGTCGCGCCATTTCAATGACATAGCTGGGTCGGCCGGTCATATATTTTTGTCTGGGCAGTCGAACAGTTTTTGACACCACTCCGAAGTCTATATCATTAGAACTGCAGAAGAAATCTGGGACGCACGGGTATTCATGTTCAGATAACTCTTGGAATTATTCAGAGCTCAAATTTTTACTGGAACTGTCCAAGATCAGATACACATTCAGTGAAAAAATTAATTTTCAACCGGTATTACCACCACTACTACTAGTAGTGGTGGTAATACCGTTGCGCTTTAGACCTTCCTAGTTCACTCTGTTTAGAGATACGGTAGTCTAAGACGCTAAAGTCGTGTAACACGGCAGAGATGTAACCGGTACCGGCAACCGGGCGGTGCGATCAGAAAGTTTTGACCGGCCGGTCTGAAAAACCAGTACTTTGTCGAAAACGAGTTTGCTTGCTAAGTAAAACAAAGGTTTTGATATTTCAGATTAAGAAAGTTAGTTAGTTTGGTTTTCTCTTTTTCGTCAACAGTCTTCGAGAACAGGACTGATAATCTCTACTATGTGAATATTCTGTTCGTTTTTCCTTCTTTTTTAGTGTTTGTTGCACTACGATCGGCGCTAAAATACAAGGTCAGTGATTATCTTTTGAATAACTCAGGAGGAAGAAAAGATAGAGACTTGTGGCTTACATCATTCGCTAGTCAAGATCTGAGGCTAGTTTTTCATAAGCAAAAACGAGTTTGGAAATATTTCAAAGATCGGTTTTTCAGGAGATCTGGGGAGAATCAGTTCGCTTCTCTGAACGTCATCGTCAATTAATTGATCATAACGTTCTCCTGCTGCTGCCATTTTTTGTTCTTTTGTTTTTTCCCTTTTCTTTTCTTCTTTTTCTTCCTCAATATTTTTCAATACAATATATTGCATTGTACCTTATAATAATATTTAATACATTTATAAATCATTAGAGGTTTTTAATGGATTACCATCTGTTCAATAAAGAAATGTCCTTTACTACATTTTGACTGTGTTACGCAGTACATGCGTGTTTTCTCCCTTTCTGATGTAATCAAACAGAGTTAGCTATTTTTTTACCCTTATTCAGTCGATATCTAAGGCAAAACATAAGACGGGTAGGAGATCGAGATTCGATCAAACTTTGTGGAGGGAAATTTACTAGGATTGAAGAAATGGAAGACCAAGTCGAATCGTTATTCAAAAATACCATCAAGCTTCTTCGTTATTCTGAGTCTTTCGCTCACGTATTGGAAAATAAATGTGTGGTTTGCTACCAAGTAAGATACGCAAGTTACCAATGTCTTTTCGTTTACTGGTTTAATGGACAGAGAGGCAGTGAGCACAAATTATTCACAGCATTCGACATTCGAAGGAGCAAGAGAACAAAAGGCGCGAAAGTGGTCAATAAAGAGAGATTATTCTTCATCTAATGTTTTAAAAACCTTCACTCTCAATGAACCAACAACAGACTCAATAGATTGCTTAGACGCCACCATTTTTAAAGAACTCCCAAGCAGTCACTTCCGCACAACTGTTTTCCGCAAAGCCGCTGCTCAGTCAACCCGCTCCGTATCTGTTCAAACGTTGTAGGTTGCAAAAAAAGAAATTTTTGACATCCGAATTCGCCTCCTACTCAACGGTTATCCAGTAATTCACATACACACTCTAGTAACTGTTTATTCATTTATTCTAAAAGAAGGAGGAAATAGTAAGCTTTTTTCTCCTCCTTTTTACCGTTATCTTCATCATTTATTGCAAGAAAGGCCTTTTAAACACACTCCTACTCTCAAACAAAAAATATTTTCTAGCCAAAAATCAAAATGTCTCTTTACCTACATAAAAACAACACATTTCCTTTTTTACGCCAGCAGAAATCTACTCCCCTATAGTGCACACGCAATTTATGAACCTCATTTTTTTTGCAAGTATAACTATGTGATATGTGTAGAACTATGACTACGTGATACATGTATTCTTACATCCTGTATGAAAAAAACCAGTGAGAAGTTCAATATCTCAATAACTCGCTGAAAGCACATAAAAATTAGGTATCCATTCGCACACATGTCTTTTTTGTACTTTCAAACTCACCTTTAAAGAGAAAGAGCGTGAACGGAACCATTCATGCATGCAAGACGTAAATAATGAGTGTAATAATCGCGTTCGAGCAATTGAACGAAGTTTCTCCATTAAACCAGTAAACGAAAAGATTTTCGTAAGTTTCGAGTGAGGGTGAGCGGTGAGGGTGATCTCCCAACAGATTCCCCTGTGGTTTTAAAACGGGTTGCAGACAGACAGACGGTCAGACAATAGTATTATATTTATAGTTTATTAGTCGAATGCTGTGAATAATTTGTGTTCACTACCTCTCTGTCTGTCTAGCATCCGCTTTTGACGTCTCAATTCTTCTCTCGGTTGATGGTTGATTTCATTTCAATGTATGAAAGGTCCATCATTGTCTTCGTGTTATTCCAGCGGAGTGGTTACGTAGCCTATACCGTACGAAAAAGTTGGACCTTGAGTGCTGAAAAACATCGTGTGAGAGTTGAAAACCCTCGTCGATCTCGAAAGGAAGAAATGTACATCGATTAGTAGAGGCTGAATTAGACGTCAGTCTAGGGACGTGTGAATCGGAATCCGATGAACGGTACTTGTTATATCATATTGACGTATATAGAAAATAAATGATTTTGATATCGTTGTTTGAATAACCATACTCAATTTCTTTTTAAAGTCTTTTCAAATTGATCAAAAAAGTGTCCTCGATAAAGTAAGATCAATTTAGATTTTATCGATATAATCTGATCAAGAAACCGTTAGAATAATAGATATGTCTTGCTTCATTCGGAATTTAATATATTTTTCTCGTCATCTCTTTCGACTCCATTGGATATTTTCTTCTTCTCGTTTCCATCGTTGAGATTGTTTCTGTAAGTTCTGATTGTTTTTAACTCTAAAATCGTATTTATCTGTGGAAATGAATAGCTAGAAATATTTTCTAAACTATCCAGTTTATTCTTCATCTTAGGAATTAAATCAATTCAAAGGTCATTATTTAAAAATACCAATTGATAAATGAATAGTAGCGAACAACTAAGTGTAATCAAACTACGACAATGGAAAGACATAGTGGAAGACAAACAAATTCTAGAAAAACTCCAAAATGAAATCTTTCCAAATTATATGATGAAAATGCGTTGGTTTGGAGGAAAAGGACGTGGTTTGAAGAGCATCCAGATGATTGATTATGCCATAATACACTGCACTGCATTAGACGATGGTTACCTTCTGCTATTAGAAGTATCCTTTGATGATAACACTCTTGATATTTATCATTTACCAATTGCATTCAGTCAAATGGGGGTTTGTTCTGAACTACGAAAGAATTGTTCTCAATCGATCATATCTTTAATAAACATTGATAATGAAGAAGGATTCTTGTACGATGCTCTATATGATCATCGATCGCAACAAGCTTTGATTACCAATCTGGCCAATAATTGTCGAATAAAACAAAAGAACGGTGAACTAGTCTTTATCAGTACTCCAGATTTAAAAAGCTACGTTCTCAAACAATTAAATTCGAGATCAAAAACATCAATGATCGAAGAAAGCAATACTTCGATTATTTATGATAAACATTTCTTTCTCAAAATCTACCGCAAAGTTGGTCGTGATATTAATTCGGATGTCGAAATGAACCAGTTTTTAAATGAAGAGACAACCTTCAGACATATTCCGAGATATATTGGTAGTATTCAATATAAGTTTGACAAAGAAACAGTAGTATTAGGGATGATACAAGAATATATTCCAAGTATTAGTGATGGATGGGTTTATATCTTAGGACAACTCAATGATTTTAGTAGAAATGTTCTTTCGCTTGAAGACATCGCTTCAGTGAACATAGAATTAAAAGGTAGTTTAATTAATCCTCTTGTTTATGAAGAAATATCAGAAGATTTAAAAAAACTATTCGATAAAAGTACATCGGAATTAATCAATTTATTAGGTCATCGTACTGGTCAAATGCATCATGCATTATCATCAAACAATCAACTTTCCTCTTTTAACCCTGAAGAATATTCTCCAGATTATCAGCATTCTTTATTTACTTCCATTGAATCTCTGATTGAAACAGTTTTCCAAACTTTACAAAAAAATCTGAGAAAAATCCCGCAGAATATTCACGAAGAAGTTAAAGAAATGTTGTCGATGAAAAGTGAACTAATGACTATGTTGAAAAGAATCTCCAGTCGAGAAATAAATGTAACTAAAATTCGTATTCATGGTGATTACCATTTAGCGCAAATCTTGTTTACTGGAAATGATTTTCTAATTGTGGATTTTGAAGGTGAACCAACCGCTCATTTTAATCAAAGACGATTGAAATATTCTCCTTTAAAAGATGTAGCTTCAATGATTCGTTCATTTCACTATGCGGCTTATTGGAGTTTATTTTCAAATACTCAGCGAAGATCGGAAGATATTAACACATTAATACCATTTATTGAAATATGGTTTCACTATATCAGCGCTTTTTTCATCAAATCCTATCTTGACACGACTAGTGGTGCACCTTTTATTCCAAATAATAATCAAGATATTCAAATTTTATTGGAAACTTTTTTATTAGAAAAAGCGATCTCGGAACTAAATTATGAACTAAATTATCGTTTAGATTGGATTCTAATACCTCTCAGAGGTATTAAATCGGTTATTAACAAAAACAAATTTGGTTAAAATCTATTTATAAGTCTTTTTTTTTAAAACTTGTACAATCGAAAGTGTATTTATAATAAAGATGACGTTTCTCCAACAATTTTATTGAAAAAATTCGTCTCTATTGTACAGCTGAATCGCTGTCGTTTCGCCAAAAGACAATTTCCTGGAAACCTCCCTCGAAATATATATTTTCAAACAAACTAAACGAACTAAAAACAAATTCTATATTCCATGGTCTGTTCGTCTGTTTAAGGAGATGAACAGTTGAACAGTCTTCGTATGTAAACGGGCAGAGATTAAAAGAAAAGAATTAATAGGCGAGAGAGACAGAGAGATAAGGAAGAACACGAAAAATACACAGGAAGAAAAAATACATATAAGTGTGACTTATAGAGATAAAGAAAGGATAGTCGGATGAGATTTCCGGTTCTTTCCTCTTTAAAATGTTTTCCCTATAGTCAAGCGACATTTTCTTTACATATCTGTTATCATAATTTAAATGGCGATACCTAAGTCAAGTTAGGGATCAAGAATCAGTGAGATTCCTAAGTTAACTTAGGGACTGATAACAATTTACGGTGTTGTAACCATTTACTGGCAAAATGTCATGTGCCATTTCGCCAACTGGTGAAACTGTACAATTTCTGGACGAAACGGCATTGACACTTCGCCAGTTGCCGAAACGGCACATGACATTTCACCATGGCGAATTGTCTTTTGGCGAAACGGTTTTTTACCGTACAGTTACTAAGGAAGTGATCATAGCCGGATGATTTGATCTATGCAAGTTGCGTTTTAGTTCATACAAGCTAGTTAGGGCCTCCCCCTAAAAAAAACGTCCATTTTTGCGAGACATGTCGAAACGCAGGTAAATGCATATAAAGATAGGTCGTCTTTAGTTCTTTTAGAAACACTATGAAAAATTCCAGAAAGTTGTGGAAGCCTATTGCGTCGAAGCTACATCTGACTGGAACTATTTGTCACTAGAAAATAATAGAGAATGTATTATAGTATCTTCATTTAATGGATCAAACTTTTCCCAAAAAACTATACTCTGTTCGAAGTATAAAAAATTTGGAAAACAGAAAAAGGAAAATTCGGGAGATCTGCATATTATCCATTGGAGTTTAATCACTGTTCTAGATTTTATAATAAAGCTTACGGAAGAAATATGTATGTCAGAATAAATTTAACTGTCCTATTGCAAAGCGCGTAGTACTAGCGCCTGTATGAGGTGTACCGCCTTCCGCATCGAAATGAATTTCATCGATATTTTTCCAACCAAGTTCAATAATTTTTGATTTGTTTGTTTTCAATATGACTGCTTTGGTCATCATCAGATGTCCTGAACAAGAACCAGTAAGTGTTAACTGGAGATTATCATTTGATACGGCACAAGCTACAATTGATAGGAGAGAGACCGGTGTACCACTTTGATTGACATTGAACGTCCACCGGCATTGAATGCTACGTAACTACTGCTAGTAAAGGCGTTTTTGAAACCATCCAATCGATCTTTTGCTTCACTTTCGTGCATGTACGCGACATTTTTCCAGTTGAAACCACCGTAGCCATTTGGTATGGAATTACTATGGTGAGTTGCTCCCGGTATATTGTTAAAATTAATTATTTTATCAAATTTCAAAACTGTAAATAAACAAGACATGTCAAAGTGGAAAAGGAAGGTTTCCTCAAAATGATAGCACCACAGTCCTTTCTCATGTTGTATCTATTTTATTTTTTACTCGCTGTAGGCTATTCAGATAGTTTAGCAGAATTCCAGAAATAAACGGTTATCTACACTGGTAAATCCCAATCGCTTTACATTTTCAAGAAGATATTTCGAGTAGTGCATCAAGTTATACGTTTGGAAACTCATTATCTTTTCTCGGCCATTAGTAAAATGTATTATTGGATTAACACCCGCTGAGCCATACAGTAAGGGGACACCTTCTATATCCTGATCGGGATATAGAAAAAAAGTAGTATCCCGATCGGGATATAAAACACGAAATTTCGTCGTAAAAACGATTAAGGGGAAAATGACGACATTTTGGGGTAAAATTGACTTCACCATTAGAAAGAGCTTGAAAA